CACTCGCCCTATACAAGCATACAAGTCAAATGCATCCCCAAACCCTTCACCAAAGAACAATTTACCCATCTTGATCTTCTGCCCTTCTGTCTGCTTTCTAAAATAGCAAAACAGACAACCCAAGTGAACAGTCCAAGATTCATGCCAGTAGCCAGTAATAGATCAATAATTCACATCTTTGAGGCCTAAGTCTCTAACCCAGAGATGGAGTCCTAATGTTGCAGGAAAATGGTGAATTAAAACCGACAGACACTTACACCAAAAACGTAGAGGAAGGAACCTTTAATTGCCAGCAAGAACTCAGGTGCCCCAAGGCGTAAAATGCTGAGTTCTTTCCAAACTCTTTCATACTTTTTTTCTTCAGCTCAATATCAGCTACATAGTTACAGTTACAGATGTTAGATTAAAGGAAAGTTTTTATTTAGCAGAGAAAAAAAATCAGAGAGTACAAAGAGTTAATGATTTTATTTCTTTTTCTTTCTTTCTTTCATTTTTCTTTTTTAGAGACAGAGTCTCACTTTGTCACCCTCAGTAGTGTCATGGTGTCACAGCTCACAGCAACCTCCAGCTCTTGGGCTTAGGCAATTCTCTTGCCTCAGCCTCCCCAATAGCTGGACTATAGGCTCCTGCCACAACGCCTGGCTATTTTTTATTGCAGTTTGGCCAGAGCCAGGTTTGAACCCGCCACCCTTGGTATATGGGGCCGGCGCCCTACTCACTGAGCCATAGGAGCTGCCCTTAATGATTATATTTCTCAAAAATCCAGGGTGCTGTTATTTGTTACATAGTCTCTCTCTCTCTCTTTTTTTTTCTTTTCAAGGTTATTTTAGCTCAGTGTAAAGTTTGTTCTTATTTTTGAAAGAGGAGTTCTTCAGCAGCTCCTGCGTCTTTCTCAGGATCATTAAGACATATAAGATTTATTTCTCCTTCCTCAGTAGCAGTGGAGTTCAGGCGTATGTCCCAGTATCAGCATGGAGGAGAAACACATGACTCATTGCTCTCTCCCTTGCCCCACTGCTGCCCCTCCACACACCTTACTGTCCCTTAGGGATGAGTCCATGTGGCAGATAATGATATCTCCCACACCCACACGGCTTTTCTCATGGTGTCTGTGTCCCCTCCTCTGAGTCTGACTTGATCTTTGTGACTGCCTTGACTAACAAGAATGCAGGGAAAAGGATGTGATTTGACTTCCCAGAATAGCACATAAAAGGTGAAAGGACTTTGGCCTGGTTCTCTTGGGATATTTGCTCTTACAACCCAGCAGCCCTCATGGGAAGAAGTCCACACGGTCATGTGGAGGAAGCTGCATCCCAGTGTTCTGGGGTCCCAGCCAAACCAAGATCAACAGTCATGTGAGGGAATGAGCCTTCAGAGGACTTCACACCCCAGCTCGTGCATTGCTCCAGCCTTCCCCTTTTCTAGCTTAGGATGCAGACACCATGGAGCAGGGGTTAGCCGCCATACAATGCTGCTCTCAGATCCCTGGCTCATGGATCCCAAAGCATAATCAAGTCATTGGTATTTTACATCAACACATTTTTTTTGGTGGGGGGCAGTGTTAAGGCAACAATAATAAATGCACAGTCAGAGTCAAAGAGAAGACTTTCTGAGCTCTGGGTCAATACAGATCATACTTTCCGTGGGTGGTTTTCAGAAACCATGTGAGAGTGTGGCCCCTCCTCTCGTATCTACCCACTTGACTGCAGTGGGGTGTGCCCTGGGCCAGTTCTTCTCTATGGATGTTCTCTCTTCCTCAGATACAATAACCAGGCTTGGCAGTTTTATGTGGAGATCACTGCAGACAAACATAGTCACATCACTGCATGGGGGAGTGGAAAGTGACTTATATTCCTAGTTCTGCCACAATTCCCCCCCTACTACCCAAGTTCTCTCCTTCCCTGGAGAGTAAACTTACTTAAATACAACAGACCCTCCATAGATGACCACCTCCCTACACTGAACACCTCCTTAAGTTGATGTAATTTTCATGGACTGAACATGTACCATGTATACATATCAGCACAGTGGGCCTAGATCCTTATGCTGAGCACCTTTGTGTACGGACTAAAGTCCCTTGGGTGGTCAGCTTACAGAGGTTCTGCTGTACTTGGTATTTCCGTTTTGTCAGGTCTATCTCACTCCTCGTCCCTACACCAATTTGCCTCTAGTCCCTGTAAGTCCTCCACAGTAGTTCTCATCAAGAGCTCCCTTGTCCCTATATCTGACATCTTTTAGTCTCGTTGCTTTGCTCTTTAACGTTAAGACACTAACAAACACTCTCCCTTCTGTAACACTCTCCGGCTTCGCTGCCCAGTGTCACCAGCCACTGTTAACCTGAATGGCCATTTCATGCAGGACACTGCTGGCTAGGCCCTGGCAAGGTCAGATTAGCCTATGAGCCAACCCTTGGGCATTATTTGCTTTCAAGGCCCACTGTCATAGATAAGCTGGGGAAGTGGACTCCATGCCACCAACCAAAGGGCCCAGAGTACTCTGTGCACTCAGTGAAGTGGTAATTGGCCATAAATTTAGTCCGACTGAATCCTGTGGTGATATAGTCACCTTGAAAGCAAGAGATAGTCTGACTTTGTAACCTATGTTTGTTACTGTAAAGGAATAAAAATAACAAAGAGAAGTGAGAGAGCAGAGCAGTTCTTTGCTGAGGTATCCCGGTTGCTCTCTGGAATCACTGAATTTTCTGTAAATAAAAGCGAAACTGTTGATCTCTCATTTGCTTCTCCATTGATTGACTCAGGTGACAGGCAGATGGACTCCTCGGTCTGACAGCACCAGGACTCTGGCTCTGTGTTGTAGGATCATTCTTTAACTGGCCGATTAAACATTGCAAAAAGCTTCAAGTCCTGTGTCCTCTGCTCTGGTCCTCTTCATCGATGATAAATTTCCCCCACCAAATGCCCTACCTCCCCTACCTGCAGCTCCCAGCCTCTCCAGTCAATACTTGATCAATTCCTCCTCGTCCCTGGATCTCAGCTTCAACACTACTTCCTGATGAAAAATCCCTCCTGAGCTCCTGTCAGGGGCCACCCCTCTGTTTCACAACACATGTAGCCTGTGTCTGGACCCGACCGTCTACATTCAAACCCTGGCTCCACCACTCACTAGCCACAGAACCTTACCACACCTCAATCATCTCACCTACAAATGGGGGTGATAAAAGTATACACCACACTGGTCACTGAGAGCCTCTGAGTTCACGCATATTGAGTGCACAGAACATGACCACACAGCACCTGAGAAACCCCAGCTCCTCCTACTGCGTGCTTCTCAAGCACCATGTGCTTTCCTTTTGCAGGACTTATGGAGCTAGACTTGAAACATTCATTTGTGTGACATCGTCTCCTCCAGAGGAGCCTGAGCCAGGGCTGAGTGATGTGCCCACAGCACATCCCTAGTATCTAGCCCAAGCCTTGGCATGTAGTTGCGCTGAATATTTCCCAGTTGCCTCCAGATCCATCACCACCCTCCCCTGGCTCTGCAGCCCAAGAAGCTGCAACCTCTATGGACCATGAAGAGGCTACCCTACCCAACCATTGAATTTCTGGCTGAATTTGGGCAATGGGAGTCACTGGCAGGACATAAAAGAGTGGACAGAGAAAGAGGTTGTGGTATTCATTTCCCTGGCTCTCTCTGCCAGGCAACAAGCTGTATTAGCTCTGTACCTTTACTAGAGTCCTCTCCCTACAGCCCCAACCCCAACTACTCTCCAGGCCAGGTGAATGCCTGGTAATAGCCCTCCCACTGTGTCTGGCCCCAGGGTGCTGGGGGGGGCATTGTTCCCAACAATTTTTCCCAATTATAATTGGTTCTTTGACAAAACTCTGCCCTATTACCCCCTTAGCACACCATCACTTTCCTTCGGGGATACTGACAAATGATACAAAAGGTTCTATATCAACATTTGTTGAATGAAGATAATAATCTGAAGGCCCAACCATGGCCAAAGTTGTCATGAGGAGTAAGTAATAAACAGAAAGTGGACACACTTCAAAGATGAAGTTCTGGAGTAGAGGCTTCAGTTTGGGGGTACCTGAGAATGAATCGGCAGCTGGGCTTATTAAACCCACAGATGCTCTGCCCCAAGAGATAGTCATTTGGCAGGCCTAGGGGTGGGATAATTTGCATTTATAACAAATTTCCTGGTGACACTGGTGCTGCTAGGCTGGAGACCACACTTTGAGAGACACTGCACTGGAAGAATGCCAGAGGCTTTTGTTACCTACAGACCACAAGCCTCATGGGTGCTTTAATCATCTTCAAAGACGTGAAAGGCCAAGTACAATATAATCAATGCTTTATTTTAACTTCTTTGCTCAACTAAATCTAAACAGAGGTTTCTGCTAATGAAAAAGAAAAAAGGAAAACAAAAAGAAAGCAGTGACAAGATTAAATGCTGGAAGAAGATGAAGTGGCAGGCAAGGCCCCCGCCCCGGGGAGGCTGCACACATTCTCAGGGCCTAGCAACAGAGGTGCCTAGGGACCTTGAACCTGACAAAGACTGTAGTTAAGCCACAGCTTGAGAGTCCTGAGGCTTGAGGACAGAAAGGAGCTCCTTCCTGCTCTAACCCAATCTGGGCTGCACATCTTAGAAAGGGGCAGACGTCTTGCAAAGCACACTGGACATGCCCTTGGCTGCTCAAGATGGAACACCCCACTCTTCATATATGCACACACAGAGCACATGGACATACGCTCACACTGACAAATTCACCACCATGTTAACGACTTCAGGGCTCAGTCACAGACATAAGTACCAACTGCAGAGCTGAGGTGTGTGTGTATCTCCTTAGCACAATGACAAAAGGCTACTGTAGAGGCCAGGGGTCAGCCATGCCAAGGGCCCAGCAAGGGAGAAACTGCATTCTGCATCACGTTGGTGTAAGAGAAAATTCCACTGCGCCACTGGGGCCAGCTGGGCCCAGTTAGGGAGGTCCAGATGCCAGATCTGGGATGCCATCCAGCTCTAATATACCCCTCAGCTACCGGTTGATAAGGAAGCAGAGTGCCAGGAGGCCAGTCCCCAGCAGGTCCCCCAGTCCTGTGAGATAGGGGATACAGTGGTTGTCAGGATCCAGGGCCTGGTGCCAAGTCAGCCGAACCATCACTTCTGCCAGGTACAGGAGAATTGTCACCTGTTGTAAAAGGAAACAGATTCAGAAGAAGACCAAATCAGAAAGCCAAGGATAGCCAAGGAATACTTCTGAGTTTCAGGGGCAGTCACCAAAGTGAACATGTGAACTCCAGCCATTCCCCTTCTTCTGGCTTCTCCTGGAACTGGTGCTATAGAAGATGGCCTCACCTGCACTCTCTTACCTCCACCTAAACACACCTGCTGCCAGTCCCTAGCGGGATCTCTCTCTGCCATACAAGCCCCTCCTTCCTGGACCTCACTGGGACTTCTACCTGGGTTTGCCCATTTCCCTCAGAGCTCGAGTGGTTAGTTCTTCCTGAAGGTGTCATGGGGTAGTTCACACAGCCCTGGCTAGGTCTCACGGCTCCTAGGTCCCCTGTCCAGGCTGACCCCAGACCCCTCATCCTCCCTAGCTAGAGTCTGAGGGTTTCCTAGACTCTATGAATCCTATCCTTTGGAGTCAGAAACATATTGCAGGTACAAATGCCATGATCTTGGGGAAAGCATAAAATGCCAGCATCGACACCGCACTCATACAACTCCCCACCAGTGTCCAGAGCACTCCCTGCAAAAGCCCCAGGCCCATGAGGACATCAGCCAGCTGTGGTCTCAGCAGAAAGTCTGCTCAATACCTTCCCAAAGTAGGCAGCAGCTTAATTTCCTTGCCCACCACCCTCACTGCTGTCCAGCCCTGACCAAATCCGACGCGAGACATAGCAGCTCCCCTGGCAAGGGCCTGGGCCCTGTCCATCTGCCATGTGTGAGGCAGTGACCACTGGATCCACTCGTCACTCTGCTCCATGGGAACATGCTGCATCCTCAAGGCTGCTCCTCTTCTCGCCCTGATGGGTGAGTGTGCAGCATGTGGTGTGTAGCATGTAGTGTGCCCTGTGCAGGGTGCAGCATGCAGTCCACAAGCTGTAGTATATGGTGTGCAGTAGCCTCCGTGTCTAGACTATGCCCTGCCTTCCCAGGAACCCCATCACACCTCAGTCCAGCCTGCTCAGCATCTCACCAGAGCAGGGAACAGAGTACTTAGCTGACTAAGCAGCTGTCTTCCATGGCTGCAGCCATCCTTACCTGGATCAGGCCCGCTAGCAGGTAGAGTACCATAAAGGTCTTGCTGCTTGTGACTGACTGACCTTCCACCAGGTGGATGACACAGAAGAAAATCAGATGGCCTGGCACCACCAGAAAGAGCAGGACTCGAGCTGACATGGAATTGATTTCTGGAAGAAATAGAATTGAGAAGTTTGTATGGCCTGCCTAGTAGCTGAGGCCACCTTGGTATGTGACAGTCTCAGAGAGGCATCCACACTCATTCTTTCATTCATTTTGCACATGTTTACTGGGCACTTGCTATGTGGCAGATGGGGATACAGTCTTGCCCCTTTCCTCATGGGGCTGGTATTTCAGGGAAGAGAGTCAAGCAAGAATCATGTAAGCAGAAATAAATGAGAAAGGTCATTGTGAAGTGTGCTGAGTCCTATGAGGATTATCCTCCAAGGTAGGGGGACAGAGTGTGAAGTGCGCTTGAGCAGGGGTGAGCACCTGGAGGTGACACTTTAGCTGTGGTATGCACTTGAGGCAGAGGGCCCTGGGCAGAAGAAAGAGAACACACAAGGGGCTTAGGTGGGTAAGAGCTTGGGAGTGTGGAGGAACAGCCCCACCGTAGACAGTAGGGATCTGGAGAGGCAGCCCCTTCCTCACAGATGCCTGCAGGCCCTGCCAGCACAAGTGTGCCACATTAGTGAGCCCTAGGTTTTCTTCACACTCATGCGATTCACCCTGATGCAACCATACTTAAAAAAAATAAAAAACTATACTTGTGGATACAATTGATTTCTCAAACAGAAAAGGCGCTCCAAGGACACAGGCCTCCATATGCCCCTTGAGTTAACAGAATGTATTTTACCAAAACAATATGGAAAAGGAGAAAATATCTTATGGTGCTTAGAAGCTAAGACATACCATAAACCAGTATGTAGAGAGAGGTGGCAAGAACATAGAAGAACATCAAGATCTATTTGTGATGAGAAATGAAATGAGGAATAAAAAGATTCATTAAAAAAGAAACTTTAAAATAGAAGCAAAACTATTAGAAGAAGTTACTATTGGCAGCTGGCATGAAAACTCAAGAATATCTATAGGAAAACTATGAAAACAATAGGAATTTAGTAAAATGCTTTGGCACACAAATTACAACAGAAAAATAAATAGCCTTGCTGTTCGTAAATGACCACTGAGAAATATAATGGGGGCTTTCATTTCTGGGAAAGACACACTTCCTCCTTTCCTTCCACTAAATATAAGTAAAAACCATGAACATTATACATAAAACAAACGTAAGAAGATTCTGAAAGGTAGAGAGAGAAGGCAGGCTGGCTAGGAACTTCAGGAAGCAATGAACAACATAGTGGTGAGTTCTCTGAATTGTCTGTTTTGTACGGACCGGGTCCTGGAGACATCAGCAACCCAGAAATGTTGATAAGAATGGACAAAAAAAAAAAAGACTCCATAGTTTTTAGCCTAAGATCCAGGAAAGAGGTAGCAGAGAACTTTTACACAGCAATTACTTCAGCCAAATGCTGCAGAAAAATCTGTGGCCAGGGGCAGGAGCTCTCCTCTCCCTCCCAGGCTGAGGATCTCCTCTCCTTGTTTTGTTGCACCCTGCACTTCTCCCTTGTGGAACATACCACAATTTGTAATTACACACTCATTTGTTTTGTGTCTATCTGCTTCTAAGGGCAACAAATCAGCTGTTTCTGTTTCCCCACTGTAACCTGTTATCCAGTGCCTGATGGACATTCAATAAATATCTGAACGCCTGAATGGACAAGAGGCAGGGTTGGGGAGTCAGGTCTCCAGGAGGAGGAGCTGAGCCTGGAAGGTGATTAGTGCAAGACATCAGGCATCTATTGCTATACTCCACAACATCGACTTTTACTTGTTTAAAAACACCAGACCCACCTGGCATACAGAAAGTGGAACACGGGTTGGGCCAGAAGTTTTTCATCCAAAGGGGTAGGACCCCGGGTGTGCTCCAAATATGTAGGTAGGTGGAGATTCGGCTGGTTTGAATGGCCACCAGATTGCCACCAACACCTGTTGAGAAAAAAACGTCTGGTTTCCCCACAGCTTTGAGGTTAAGTCCCTTATTTTAAGTTCACTTCCTCCAGGAAGCCTTGTTTGGTTGATTGGTATCTTTTCCTTCCCTCCCAGTGACCACAGATCTTGTTTGGCACCAAGTCAGGGTGGCCCTGATCTCTTGAGTGTGGCAATGAATTAACAACTGTATCACCTTGACAGCTAGTACCTCCTAAATGGAGAGAAGTGTGACTGGCAAAGTAGCTTCTCAATAAATATCTGTTGCTTAGAGGGAGGGAATTCAGGAATCCAGGAAGAAAGGGAGTGAGGGAGATAGGGAGGAAGGGGAGGATTAAGGAGAGCAATGAAGGGGTGGAGAGGTCTAACAAGAGCATGGTAAGCCCCTCTGAGTAAGAGTTAGACCTCAAGGTAGCAGGAACGGACAGGACCCAGACCACAGGATGGAATATCTGTGAAAATGAAAACTATTTTTTTCACCTCAAGGTGGGAAGGAAAGGAAAGAAAACAGCGGATAAGAGTGGGGAGGGGAGGGGAGGGGAGGGGAAGAGAGAGATGATCACTTGGTGACAAAAGCAGGCCAGTCCCAAGAGAAGTGCCCTGGGCAACTGTCATGCTGGGTACCCTGGGGGCTTCTAGGAAGACATTTTCTGTTGCATGATTTCAGTTTGTGAGCTACGTGAGTCCCTCTCTGGTGGCCCTGAATGTTAGAGCACAATCCCACATTCACGGATGCATGGGGTACCTGGAGCAAGTGTCCATCGAGGAAATGTAGGGAAGGCTGGGGGTCATGTGTAGACTGATGTGACAGAACACAAACCGGACCCAAAGAAGCAGAGTCAGGAGGCCCAGAAATTCTGAAGCTTCTGGATGAGGCTCTTGGTTTCCATAGGGTGAGGTAAAGGTTTCAAACTTGGCCAAGGCCAGATGGCTCAGCTGACAAAGACCATGCTGAGTAACTCTTTTGTGGGAGCAGAGGCAGGGGCTGGCAGAAAACAGGGCCTGCCCCGTGACAGCTCTCCTTAGGGGTGGCTGACAGAGGTGGGAGTTACCTACATTCTACGTCCTCAGTGCCAGGGATAGCTATCCCTAACTGGGCCACATGTGCACCAGTGACCTCCAGGGAAGAGACCAACCACCTGGGCAGCTCTAGAGGATGCAAAGAACGGTATTCGGGCAGAGGATGGCTGCAGATATGTTTTGCTTGGCCCATATGTGATTTAAATAGAAAAAGAGGGGAAAAAGCCCTCAAATTAAGTGGCAACATTTACAAGTTGGGGCCTTACTCCAGATTCTCAGCTTCTCTGAACAAGCCAGTTCTGGTGACTCTGAGTTGACATTTCCACCAGGCAACACTTGGCTGGAGCCAGGCAGGTACCACTCCCTTCAGATTAGCAATGTGCTCTGCAGCACGCCCAATTCCCCACCACTCCTTAATGACTAGCTGTGTGTCCCTGCTGCTTAAAGCATTCAAATCGTGTGCTTGGTCCCTGAAGGAAACTGAGTTGCTGATTTCATCCGAGGAGATCCTTCCAAGCTTACACGCCATCTGCTGCGATCCTCATTGCACAGGGAGGCCCTGTGGGACTCTGCCAGAGTGCACATGTGCTGGGTGGCCCTGATGCAAGGAGCAAGGTATGGTCCCCCACGGAGGCCAGGGAGGGACTGTGGACACTCAGGGGCTGCCCAAGGGCATCTGAAGCCGGTTTCTGCAGGCCCAGAAAGTCAGGTCCTGGGGACCAAGCAAACTGGGAAATAAATTTGGTTACTCTCCTAACTGGTCAGTTCCATTTACAGGGCCTTATCAGACACCAGATACCAAGCCAAACTTTGCCTAAGAGATACAACACAAACACCCACAGAGTCTAAGCCTAGGAGGTAAATAAGTAAAGAGGGTCAGGTGTATGAAGACAGGGCATGGTGAGGATTAGGGAAAACTGGAACATGCAGGCCCTGAATCAGCTTCAGCCCAGTATTGTAAATTTTTAAGAAGACAGAAATCCAGAGTTTTAAATGTGCATGTCTGAGTTTTAATGTCAACAAGAGCCCAACACTCTAGCTCTGAAGGCCACACTCAGTCAGCAGGTGCCAGCCAAGCCTGTGTTAAACTCTGGGCCTTCAACACATTGGATTTGGTTCTGTCCAGAGGGTGGGAGTCTTGCTGACACCACGGCGAACCAAATTAGCACTGCCGAGAGCAGAGTGCAGGACTTCCTCCCCAGGTCTCCTTCCACCTCAAGAAAACCAGCACCACAGCCTCTGCAGCTCAGCTGCCCAACTGCCCTTGAAGTCTGCTGTTTAGGTCCAAACCAGTCCAGGGGCCCTCTCCAATACTTACCGCATATGATGGGAGTGAATATGGCCATGCCTTTGAACTGCTGCTTAGAAATGGTTTTGCTCAAAATCAGCCCTCCAAAACTGGGGAGAGAGCAGACGGCAGTCCCACAATCAGGGAGTTTCCACTCACAGGATCCCTGTAAACCTCTGCACCAGACGCCCCATTGGCCTGGCTTCCCAGTTTGGGCAGACACTCCTTCCCCTACACAAGTATCTGCTGCAGACAAGCTGGTTGCCCTCTGTCCTCTGCACCTCACCAGGCTTTTCCATCCCCACCTCTGCTCCAAGTCTCAGCTGCTCCAGAAGCTATCAGGGAATGCCACCCCATTCTGGGACAAATGAACGACTACCTTTTGAGGCCACACAGCTGGCTAGGCCTCTCACCTGAACTGCACAATGATGCTCTTTAGTGAAAACACAACCTGCACAAGTGTCGCCTCGTGCCACCCTTTGTTCTGGGGAAATGCTGCACTTGCCGTACAGGAGGCTATGCTTTAGCAAAGGTGTTCCCACCCCTTAGGACTTCACAGAGCCCTGGAGAAGTTGGGTCAATTTGTATTAAGAGGCCAGGAGCCTTCTGGAAGCACACTCAGCTGCACTGCAACCTTTTCGCCCTGAGAGTCAGAGCCAGGAAAACACATCAGAGTGAACTGGGGAGGCCCCATCACAGTCTGCCAGCAGAAAAGGGACCTCACGAGCAAGGCTGAGGGTGGAAAGCCAAAGGGTCCAGGAGACTATCCCACAGCAGCCATGCCGTGGACAGTGACAGTCCACTTCTCTGACATTTTTGCTATTTTCTCACCTGGCGTGTGTGAGTAACAGAGACCCTGCCGAAACGAGGATGGAACAGCAAAGCTCTGGCAGCTGTTAGACTGAGGGCCAGATCCCATGGCACCACCATGTGGAGCAGGGCCCTGGAGTCTGGAGCCCTAATCTGACCCTCCCAGCTCTGGCTCCGCCTGGCTTCCCACTGCTCTGGCACTTGTGAACAAGGTGGCCTCTCTTAGAAGGAACAGCCCCAGGGTTCGTTGTGAAAGAGAAATATCAAAACAGCAAGGTATGACCCAGGCAGTACTGGGGGTTCCCACATTTCACTGCTGACCCCAACCTCCCAGACACTGAGTATCACCCATGCCCAGGGCTTTGTGGTACTCAGAGAGGAGGAGGCAGAGGGTGGGTGGCGCTGACCCAGCGTACCTGCTGATGACCATTGCCAGGATGATGGGGACCCAGCCAAACTTCAGGATCTTCATGATAGGTGGGCTCTGCTTGGCGATGAGGACCCACAGGGGGATCAGAGCCACAAAGCCAATGCAGACCAGTAGCATCAGAAACCAGCTGTCTGCATAAAGAGAGGGGACACACATAGCTCATGGGACAATGCAGGGGGCAGGCCTGACTGAGGAAGGCCCTGGGCTGCCCAGGGGAAAGGCAGGCTGGGAGTGAAGGACACTGGAAGTCTGAGGAAACTCCTGCCCCACCACACTTTATTCCCCACCCACCTTTGTTTTAAATTTCAGAATATTGTGGGGGTACAATCGTTTCTGTTACATGGATTTGCTTTTGTGCAGCCTGAGTCACTTCCTCACCCAGATAGATGTGAAATCAACCCAAGTGCCCCCAACACAGGAGTGGATTGATAAAACGTGGCACATGTACACCACAGAGTACCACCCACCACACTTTCCAATGGGACCCTTCACCATCCCATTAAGCAACTAGGAAAGCTCCTCTCTGTCCTCTATTCCTGCCACATTCACCTCCACTTCTCTGACATTTTTGCCATTTTCCCACATAAATTTAGCACCCTGCTCCATCTCTTACCACTCAGATGTTCCCGTCGGTTTGAGCAATACCATCTCTGGGATGTACTGTGCCAGCACTGTGCTCAGCATTTCACACATGACCTCATTTCATGCTTGCAACAGCCCTTCCCAGACAGGCACCAGGAGGAGACAAGCACAAAGCGGTGGCTTCCCAAGAAACACAGCCAAGCCAAGGCTTTGCCCCAGGTCTGCAGAAAGCCAAAGTGGCTATGGGATGCCAATCATGCCCTGCAGATGAGGCCAGTCCAAGGTGACCTCCTGGGCACCTGCATCTCCTATAAGGTGCCAATCACAGCTAGGACGGTATCTTCGCATGCCCCCACCTCCTCTTTTTCAACTGGTAGTAGGAGAGCAAAGAAGGACTGGGGTTGGGATTGGTCAACTGTTACTTGGAGGCAGGCCAGGCTGACCCCCCGGGGAACCTCATATATTCCCCTCCTTCCCCTTCCTGTATTGTGTTCCATGTATGAGTCTCGCCTTCCTCAAGCAAACAGAATAAGACCCTGGCTTCCGAGGATAGTCCTCTCACCCTCAGTCTTGGCTCACCTGCCAAGGGGCCCAAATCTCAGGGGTGCCCAGGCATGAGTCTGTGTCCCACGCCCTCCCTCCCCAGGCAGTATCACTTAAGAACATTCCTCTCCCCTCTTTCCTTCTCTGTACTAAAGGATCACGTCTGTTCCTCTGCCACAGGTGCCCAAGTACTTTGCGGCAATGGTGACCAGCCTCTGTGCCATCCCAGGAGACAGGAGGCAGGCGCAGCTCGCTCTACATAGTGGCCTCAAATGCGCTGGAAAACAGCAGCCTGCCAGAGCAACTCCTTCTGGGATACTTTTGAGTCCATTCCAAGTTTTCCACGACCACTCACAGCCCCTGCAGAGATCCTGCCTCAGTTTCTTCTCTGCATGGTAATGCACACTTCCCCAGTGGGCAAACTGGATGCCCATCTACCCCGAGCAGATGCCACTGTCACCTGCTCAGTCCTCAGTCTGTGAAGATTTCTCTAATTTGGACCAGTCCCAGAATGCACCACAGATTAAGTTCACAGTCTTACTGGGGAGGTGAGCCATCCAGCGGTGATTTAATGTCTAAGTGCTCAGTCATACATGGGAATAAGCATATGGTACAACATAGAGCTGAGAGACACGGCCTGGAGAAACTTACTCAAATAATTCACCCATATACAAATCTTCTTGTCTTAAATTCATTTGGCTTTAAATTCAAATTAGGTCATCTTATTTGATCTTTACAGATCTTCATTGCCACCTATGTGAACTTTGAGACCTTGCCTGATGATTAAATACTGGAATTGACAGGCAATACCAGGGATGGCAAGGAGATGGTCCAGAGCTGGGGCAGAAAGGGCCCCACTGCCCCATAGCATGTTCCAAATCACAGCTGTTTTATTTGTCTGCTTCAGTTGCCAAAGGATAAAAATGGATAATTTCCCAACCCCCTAAGTCCATATTCTAGGGCACCTCCTGAGCAGCTGTCACCACGTGCCCTTTGCTGCCCTCCCCAACCCATCTCATCCCTGCTGGGGTACACGGATGTGTACAGACCAGCCTCAGGCCCTACTCCTACTCCATATGTGGCCAGTCTCAGCCTGTGGAAGAAAGCCCAGCTACAGAAGGATGATGGGGGCAATTTAGAGTTTCCTGTGGAATGACCAGAAAGACTCAGTAGGAGGAATTTTGATCACTCAAGAGGAAAATTTAGATTTGCCAATTGAACCAAGCTTCAGAATCTGGCCAGATTTAAAGATTACAAGTTTTTCACTTAAGCTACAAAGATTTCACTTTCCCTTTTCAGAGAGAAAATGGGAAACAAGTTAAGGCTTTGGGGCTATGAAGGTGAAACATGTGTACTGTGCATGGGAAAATGACAGGGATTGTGTGGAGGCCGAGCCAGAATGAATATGTCTCCCAAATTTCATGTGTTGATCCCCAACCATATTGAAGTTGGGGTGGGAGGATTAAGAGGTTATTGGATCACGAGGGCACTGCTTTCATAAATGGGTTAATCCATTCATGGATTAGTGGGTTACCCATGGCGGGGGGAACTGGTGGCTTTATAAAAAGAGAAACAGAGACCTGAGCCAGCACACTCAGGCCCCTTGCCACACAATGCCGTGTGCAGCCTCAGGACTCTGTGGGCCTCCACCAGCAAGAAGCCCTCACCATATTCAGCCTTTTGACCTTGGACTTCCCAGCCTCTGAGACTATAAGAAATTAATTTCATTATGAATGCCACAGTGGTGTCTTAGTCCATTTTCTGTGGCTTATAATAAAGCACCTGAAAGCGAGTAATTCATAAAGTATCTATGTATATTTTTTACCAGAGTCAAGAAAATTCTGGAGCTACTTATACCTTACAGCAATTGGGGGAAGTATACTTGTGTGAATAAGAACAAAACATTTATCTTTCTCTCTACCTGGTTTCTCAAAAATCTAGAAACTAGTTTCATTAGTATTCTTATTTCCATAAGTTTGACAAGAACCAGTTGTCTTTTATAACAGGACACAACTGGAGATCTGGTTACTCTGCTAAAGCTTTGACTAGAATAGCACATTCTCAGGTATAACCAGCCTGTTTTGAGGAATTGAAGTTGACATCACAGAGCTGAAAAAAGTCCATTGGAAAAACTGACTTGGTGCTTCATCTACACGGCTCCTGACCATGTAGTAGGTAAAGAATGTGGCTTTCTGACAGGCTCAGGAACCTCAGGATATCTTGGAATGTTGAGAAGAGTGAAATGTACCCAATCCGTACAAGTATCACAGGCACAGTCTGATGGTGAATCCTAGGCTTATCCAGCCTTGAGGCTTTCAAAAGTCTAATCCAGAATTTCTTATAAAGTTCCAGCAAAGAACCTATGTGGATATTCACTGTCTTTGTCACACTTTATGCAAATAATCAGGCCATGTAAAACATCCATGACTTATTTTACAAGTAAGTTGGTCCTACTAAGTATAATCTTTGATAGAAATGGGGAACCTCAAGGAGAGAAATTATGTCAGAAGATCAGCCTCAGGACCCCTGATACTAGATTCTAGCCCTGACCATTGCTTTCGAGTTTTCATTACATTCCTATAATCTGGACTCTATCCAGAATTATTTCTAAGCTACAAGAAGTTTCTAAAGAAGGACCAGGTTTTAATTTTCTTCATGATGTTTTTAGTTGACTCCGGGCTGGGATAGCTTTTTTCCCCTCACCATTCTGGCATACAAATTCTCTTTGTGATTATAATCCAATGTGCATCATATTTCTACCATATGTCTCTCACGCTTTTACTTCAGACAAAACTAAACTCACAGTATTCCAAAGACTACGCTGACTTAACTGAGGTCTCACTGTTGCCACGTGTGATGACAATCACATCAGCTTTTGGTGCTCTTAAAATTATTCACTGAGACATATCTTCTTCCCACACCACCACATGGGAGAGGACTATCTGGGAATGAGCCTTCCTACAACACAAGATTAAGCTTCTGAATATAAAAGGAGCCCAAACCATCTGTGTTCACCTACAATGCTTTCCTCGAAATATCTTGATGGAAAGGAGAGGAATAAGAAAAAAAAAAAAAAAAAAACTCAGAGCATTCTTGAGTTATTATGTGAGGAATGCAAAGTGTATCAGACCCAGAAAGACATGAGTGTGGGACTTCA